TTTTTGGTTTTGGGTTTTGGGGTTTTGTTTGGTTTTGTTTTTTGTTTGGCTATGATCGCCTGGTGCAGCCAGTTGTACATTTTCAGTTCTAACAAAGCCTGAATTTGAACAGGCATCTTCTCAAAATCCGCAGCAACCAGTGAGTCATCTCAGCTGAAAATCTCAGTCATCTTGAAGTAGCTGCGACTAGTAACTCTAGAGTTTCCATAAAATTTGTCAGCGGGCTTGCCAGCTATTATTTAAGTTGGAGCAAACGTAGCAGTTCAGCAGAGAACACGTTTTTACATCAACTGATGAAAGACAAACTCATTTTCCCCTAGTGGAATTGATTCTCGGGGATCATTTGAACCAGATATCACAACCTCCCCACTGCAATTCTTATCCATCTCCCAGGCCCAGAAAGGTGAATGTGTGCAATCACAGTCCTTTCCATGGCAACAGACTGATACAAATAGAATTATTACTTCTCCAAAGGGCCAGGCAGCAGCTGCTCAGAAGGGGGGAAAATGTCTCGGGGTCATTCCAGGCAATGAAAACAGCCCTTTTCTTAGTGCTTCATTCCTGCTAGCGCCACTTCAGCTCCGTCGGGTGGTTCGTGTCCCTGCTTCATATTCTTCTTGCAGTTCTTTATTTAAAGATAGCAAGTAAGGCAGATCTTTTACTCCAGTGCTGAAGAGTACACAGTTGGTTAATATGCATTTGTAAAAAGCTGTGTGCACAAAATAGTCTCCACAGAAGTAAACATCTTTGCCATCGTCTTAGTAATCCTTACTATCCGTAGTAATCATGGCACCAACAACTTGAGTGAACTGTACAGGAAACTACTCTTTGCTTTCTACTATGTACTACAACTACTACTGACTTCACAGGTATTATCTAAATAGATATGGATGCTATTCACAAGCTATATTCCATTCGCAAAGGACATACTAGCGCAGCTCGGGGTGAAACTTTTTTTCCAGCAGTAAAATGTTCAGCCTTTCCACTAAGAGGGTCTCACAACAGAGGGGGGACCAAGAAGAAAGCTGTCTGGATCCCAATCAGAAATTACTAACCATGGTATATTTACTGATTGCAGAATCAGTACATTCTGATTTACTGGTATATTTCATCATGGTATATTTACGGATTGCAGAATTCTCAATCATTCAGAAAGACCCATATACAAATCACCAAGAGCATTGACCACCAGTTGCATCTTTGCTCAAGCCACCTGTTGATGGGCAGAGGAAACCATGCCTGCAGATTCATATATTCTCTAGGTGCCAAGGGTAAGAAAGTATCTCGCTCAGCAGCTTTTCCGGAAGAGTCATCCCTTGATAGGGTTCAGCTGATTACTGCATGCCCATCACTGTCACAGACGGGTGTCACATTTGTCTACAAAGCTGTGGTGTGAATGCCAGGTTGCAGTCCAAACTGGTCAGCATACCATTGTTAGGTGTAAAGATTTTGGTCACTAACTGGAACCCATTCTGGAAACCAAAGACACTGAAAACCCAAGTCCAAAGAAGAATCTTTCTACATTCAGGAAGGACAAGAAGGCCGAGAATCAACCGTCCCTTTGGAATACTAGTGGACAAAGCCACGAGACACTAAATAGATGCAAATCCAGGTGACTAAGCCAATAAAAAAGAGCCTAGCTCAAGCCTCTTCCACTTTAAGACAGCAAGAAGTCATGTTCCAGTTGATGCCACACACCCCAGTGATCAGTTGGCCATCAGTGGATCTGGTCCTCCACGGATGCAGTTGCAGCGAGCATGTGGCAGATGGTGCTGGGTGGAGCTGGCCAAGCACTTGGGGATCCAGTTCTGGACAGAGCAAGACAAACGCCAATGTCTGATGGCCACCACTCAACACTTACTGGGTAAAGATGCCACAGAGTCCGCTTTATGAAGCCGGCGGCGGCAGCCCGAGCGCTGTTCTGCATTTTTCTTATTGCCAAGGAAGAACACGGGTGTGCTGGCATTATTAGACCCCAGGCTGCATTCAAGATGGAAATGTTCGACTCTATCATGCCGGCCCCTGAGAGTCAAGACTTCTTGGAACGGCCAGGCCTCCCTGGGGGCTTTGTGCCTGTTCCATTCTGACGAACCCACGGAAAATACCTGAGCTTCACCTATGGGAAGAAGCATTTTTAGCGCGCTCACATCCCATGTATATCACATGTGGAGTGTTCATAAACCTCCTGGCCTTCCGTCTGCGGCCACGTCTGTGTCATGTTATCCCTGCCTCCACCAGGGCCGCCTTAACAGCATTATGGGCCCCGGGCAAAGCAGTGTACCGGGGCCCCTACGACAACTACTCACAGGAATAAAAATGTAAATGGTCGATAAAATTAAACATATATTCATTTGATTGGCACTTCCAACAAAATCAGAAGCAGAAAAGAAATTAGCCACTAGTGAAGTAACTATACGCCTTTGATCAGTATGTATCATACATGATACAAGGTGCGTTGAAGGGTTGACATACACAGGTTAGTATGGGGCCCACGGGCAAGTGCCCCTCAGGCCCATGCGCTGAGACGGCCCTGGCCTCAGCATCTTCCTCGTACGATTCAGCTCTCAGCACAAGGCACTATGGGGTGTGTCTTCCTGGAGTTTCATACGAAGGGCTGTAGCACCTCTGTTATGTGATCTGGAGAGCTGAAGTGATCTCTGACTTCTTCCTTGAGGGAGTAGATTGCCTGCAATTAAGTTCTGCTACCTGCACCACTCAGAAACAGGAATTTGTGGTAAGTGGAACCTTCCCATTTTATCCTGACCTTTTCTACCAATTCTAAAACTATTTTTGACCAAGCATGGAATCTTAAATCCCAAACTCCTGATTAAAAAAATCAACATAGATAGAACATAGAAACATAGAAACAGCGCGAGTCAGAAGGGGTCTCCCGGGCCATCTAGTCTGACCCCCGGCACTGATGGGGCCTCAACGACCTCCCGTGGAAGCCCATTCCACACCCTCGGGGTCCTAACTGTCAGGAAGTACTTCCTGGCATTCGAGTTGAACCTGGGTTCCCTGAGCTATGCTCCATTGGAACACATCCTGCCCTCCACTGCAGGGGTGAACGGTCTCTACCCACCTCCATGTGACACCCCCTCCTGTACCTGCATGTCGCCAACAGATCCCTTCAGAGTCTCCTCTTCTCCAGGCTGAAGAGACCCAGTTCCCTCAGTCTCGCCCCATACGGCTTCCCCTGCAATCTGGCACCATCCTTGAGGCCCTGCGCTGCACTGACTCCAACCTGGCTAGATGGGTGGATGGATCCATATAGTCAGTGTTGTTTTCTATTTATGCCTTTGCTGACATACTAATTTTAGCTGTGTGGGTTTTATTGTATGTTTATGTTGTGTGACCATAAACTCTTTCATTGGGACAGAAAAGAACAGACCTATTTATTATTGTTGCTGCTGCTCGTTACTGTACTATATTGTTGGGTGGCGGGAAGCCATGCACCTTGAGGAGAAAGAATGTGCTTTTGTTCTGCAGTCCTTCTGTTAAAGCAGCTGAATTCAAGGCTCAACCCCTTGAGTCAACACGTGTCTCGCCAATTCCCTGGACAAGAGAATCAGATTCATTCATTTCTTTATTGGATCCTTGACTGATCAGTTTACCTACAGTGGCTTGGGCAGCTCTTTCTTTCGCGATTGGTACTTCTTTCCTCCAACATTTACCCCCAGTTTTTGCTCTGTCTCCTAATTCAAGCAGGCCTTGCAGACATCTTACAATCCTGTGTCATAAAGCAAATTAAAATCAAGATTTGGAAACAGCAATTTCACACAGACTTATGGGCCTTTCCGTGCTGATTTTTGCTGTGGGGAAAAATCCTATCGTAACTCTTTAGGGGCAAGTATTTGGGGGCCACAAAATTTATGGACCTGGAAATCATGAAATACGTGACTTTTTAGATCCCCGACTTCTCCCTAGCAGATGGCTTTAACTGGCTGGCCTTCGATCCAACAACAAGACCAGTATCCCAGGTTCAGCGAAATCACATTCTCCTGATTTAGCATCTCACCTAAGACCTTAATACCTGAACACATAAAATTGGAGAATAAATCAAAGTGTCCACAGTTTTCCATCCAAATCAGGTTATGCTGGTACACAAATTACTTTTTGCTTCTTTAGGAATGCCATACCTATATAGAGCTATATATTTTGTTTAATTCTACTTCTGTGCTACCCCATAACCTGAGGCATCTCTGAACGGGTTACAAATGCTGAAAGCAGCATATCAATGCAATCAATAAAATGGATAAAAACAATACAATTAGTAAATTATTTAAAGATCTCACATAGTACAAATTATATAAAACTTAACAACATGACCAAATACAACCAATAAATTAACAACTGAAATTAAATAAATAAGTGATAACAAAATATAAAATTAAATTAACTAAAATTTTCTTTGAACTAGGCCCAGACTGGAACTGGGAGCCAATGCAGCTGATGAAGGACTGGCATAATCGACTCTTCATGTACAAAGTTTGCTTTAAATGAAAGTCTGTGTTTGTGAAAGATCGAAATCACTGAGCATTGAGTTATTTTTAGCGCTCACTCCGACTATCGCAGACTATTACACAGATAGGTGTGTACAGCTGATAAGTGTCAAACCAGGGAGAATTTCCTCCGAGCGGTAGAATTTGTGTGTTACGATTCGTCACGGGCGTAATGCATCCGCCGCACGGGATGGGAGAGGCCATGGTGGCGATTTTTCCACTAACGTTTTTCTCCCTCTTGTTTCTCAACCAACAGTCAAGTGGGGAGCAGGGAGCGTTGCCAGAGTAATTTCCCACCTACATCTTGCTTGTTAATGGTGCTAATGTTCATTAGTTTTGTTTCCAGAGGACAGGCGCTGAAAGTAGAGTTCGCGTTAACTCACACGACGCCTGTTTTTTCCATCGATGACTCTGTGTGAGCAATGTGTGTGAGCCTACCATTAGAGCAGCAGGTGCACCGTTCCCATATTTACCTGATTTTGTGTTCTTTCCCTTTAGATTAAAATATGTAAAGATCTCATTACAGTAATTGAGAAAGGTAAGAGGTTCTCACATGGGCATCGCGCTCAATTTCCTAACAGATTCCTTCTGTCGCTTGCATAAAGCTGAAACGGCCCTCCTTTTTCTCCGGGGGGCTGCGCTCGGAGATCCATCCTGCTCATGGCATCCCCAAAAGCATTCTTCGCCCCTGCATGTTTAAGCTTCACTGGAAAACACTTTTTTCTCTCTGTGTGTTTCTTTCTTTCTTCTATTCCTGTTTGCTTCGGGCAAAATCTGACACTCGCACCTGCCGTGGCGGAAATGTCTTTGTTGCTTTGCACTTTTGTCTGAATTGGGGCAGCGGAGCCAATGGGAGTTAAGTGCATTCGCTTTTTTGTTCCCTAAGCACCATGGAATAGGATCTTGAGATGGTGTCGATAAGGAGCGGCGCGTGCTGTGCGGGCTGCCCGAGTTAGCTCGGCTTAATAAGGGGCTCCTTTTCTGGGAAGGGCAGATTGCTGAGCTTGGGCCTCTGAATGGAACAGCTGGGGGAGGAAAGAGGAGACAAAGGACGGAAAACACACGCCGCCCCAGCCGGGCGACCTGGGGCTGCAGCTTCAGCGCCGAAGAGCAGGCTGGACACACGCCAGGTGTGACCCCAGAGCTTGCTCGGTTCTGCTTGTTGGGGTAATTTCCAGTGCGTTGCCGAGAGGAAGGAAGGAAGGAAGGAAGGAAGGAAGGAAGGAAGGAAGGAAGGAAGGAAGTTGGCCGGCGGCAAAGCACTGCTGCCTGGAAGGGGTCTGCGGCTGGCCGGGTGGCGAGACGCCGAATTAACTCTTACAAAGCCAGTTCACAGATAAACGGCTTGAGGCAGCCCCTGCTAAGCCGTAGCCTCCAGGATGCCACACAGGTGTGGTGGAGAATCATCCGTCCACCAGCAGGTGCCTCTACCTTGTTAGTTATGTTTCAGGATTGGATGATCTTTTAGTAGGCATTAACGTTAGCCGCTCTTCCCAAGGGAAGGGAAATATTTGAGCATCAGATGCGTTCATTAGGACTAAATGTTTCACCCTTTTAAACTCTGATCTCGAGCAAATTACTTGGAAAAGGCCGCACTGAAATCAGTGCTGCTTCCTTCCTAGCCATTTGTTTCATTCTTCTAAGAGCATGGTTGGTGTTCTGGAACAATTTCGTACCAGGGATGTTCTTAGAAGCTATTTAGGTACTTCTAAATCTATGGCTTGTGCTGACCGCTCTCACACTCCTGATGCCCATTTCGTGGGAAGGCATTGCCCTGTTTATTTTTTCTAACGTGAACTAAAATAGAAATGTTCTAATAAATAAATACATAAATAAAATATGAATCAGTTCCAAACTGTGTGAGAAGAAGGAAATCTTAAGTAACTCAAACTTGCGTCAGGTGGATTGCAAAGGAAATGAATATAATATCTTTATAAATAGGCATTTGCTGTTATTTGCTCATTCTGCAAAGCTGTTCTCTCTCCATCACTCAACATCTGTTCAGAGCCAGTTTTTGGACTGATTGCAAAGTTAAACGCACTTGGCAGGAGATGCTTCGGCCAGTGGAATGTGCAACTTCGAATGGCTCGTGCAGACGATTGCAAAGATCCGGTTGTGGTTGTCCCATCTTATGCGTGCTTGGCTGCCTGCATTGCATAGCTTTTAGTATCTACAGGGGTGCTCCTTTCGGCTGTTTGCGTAACTATTGCTTGAGCCTGCTCATTTGGGGAAAAACTTTGACCATTATTTTGACCATCTGCCACTTTGCTTGCATGCAAGAATGTAAAACACCCTCCCTCTTGCCTCCTCGGGGAAATCAAGATACCTTCCCAGTTCTGTCCAGCATCCGTGTCTTCCACATAACAAACATGCATTTTCGCGTCTATTTTTTGTTTGCTGTATACTTTTCCCATTTAATATTTTATTTAAGTGTGAATGCTGGTGAGGTTTTTTTAAAAAAAAATAGTATCTCTCAGAGGCTGATATAGCTGAATATTTTGTTTTTTACTTTTAGGAGAAACAAAACTTTTAGGGGAGGCCAAACCACTTCTCTGCACTTCCAGCCCTTGCCAGTAGGGTGTTCCCAGAGACCCCCGTCTTAAATTAGACTACTGGATGGGATTCACCTTTCACCAGTTTTAGTAATATTTCACACATTCAGTTTAGTAAAATTAATGCAGAGTTATTCCTTCCAATAAAAAGTGGACTTGGCTTCCAATAAAAAGTGGATTAGCCAATAACATTTGGCTAGCTTTTCCATAGAATCATGGAACAAGGAGTTGAGTTGGAAAAGTTGGGACGGGGAATGGACAGTTCTCCATTTCAGGCTGCCCTCACAAAGAATGACTTTCGGAGCTCACTTCCATTGTTGTCTTCAGGATATCTTGAGCTCACTGCCAAGTCCAACACTTAAAACCTTTCCCTTGCCTGAAAAAGGAGTGCACAGTCTTCCCCAGCCTGCCGCTGCCCAGATGTTTTGGACTTGCTCTCCTAGGATGGCTGAAGAGATCTGGAATCCACCACATCTGAAGGTGCCTGGTTGGGTTAGCGCCTGGGAATTAGAGTTTCGGATCACCATGAGAGCTGCGAGGTGCATAGGGAAGTAAACAGTGCACCTGGAAAATAGGATCTGTTCAATAAGTGCACAGGAGTCCCCTCAGGACCACGTGTGATGGAGGGACAGATGCACGTGGAAACAGCCGACACCCCTTTGAAAGCATGGCGACGTGAGTGAAATATTCCAGCGGCATTGCGAGCCATTTAGCACATGCCCTTCCCGGTCGCGGGGAAAGGGGACTTTTGGCCAGCGTCTCTCCACACTCGAGCAGCGTTAGGAAAGCGCTCCGCATGCAGCCGGGCGCCCCACGATTTTTCTGAAGTGATTGCTCATGAGTGGAACCATGAGTGGAGAGTTGGAAGGGGCCAGAGGGTCACCAGGCCCATCCCTCAGAAGGTTGGCTGCTCAGTTGCATCTTCAGTGCCTCCAGAGTGGGAGAGCCCACCCCCCCGCCTCGGTCATGGCTTCCATCGCACTGTTGTGCTGCTCTCACAGCCGGGAAGTTCTTCCTGATGTCCAGCTGGAATCCGGCTTCCTGCAACTTGAGCCTGGAATGAACTCTGGAATGATCCAGAAGAGGCCCTGGCCCTCCTCTTTGTGACAGCCTTTTGAGACTTGTAGGGCGCTGTCATATCTCCCCTCAGAAGACCCCCAGGGAGGGAGAATTCCAGGCGACCACTTTCCAGTGGAACCGTCTACCCCCTTGAGGCCTAGAGCAGATCCACCAGTTGGGAATGCCCCTACTCTCCAAACCCAGTAAGCCACCCTAGATGCCTTATTGTAGGTCTACCAGCAGGTTCCCAGCCAGAAGGTGCAGCTGCATGCATTTTTGAAGAAGTAAACAACTGGGAAGAGGAGATCTGGATTGAGAACCTGCTGTAGGGTCTTTAAAAAAAAAGTTTTATTTGTGAAATTATAATCCTAAAAAAACAATAAGAAAACTACAAACATCCATCATCGAAAACATCGAGCCCACTGGGTCAGCCCCCTGGTGTAGGGTCTTCTAATCCCTTATCCCTGCTACATCTCTCCAACTCCACAACTTCCTCCCCCAAAAATTGCATGGCTATTAATTGCATCTATCGGTGTTTTCCCTCTTACGACAAAAGCCAGCAGTGGATCACTCAGCAGTTACTCTGTCTGGAGCCTGGTGGAGACAGTGTTTCCCATGGAGAAACACTGTGAACAAGCCATCCAGAGCTAGCCATGGGATGGGACACAGCCTGCCAGCTGGGGGCTTCCACTTGACTGGCAAAGGAAGATCTGGGAATGCGGGCGAGGAGGACGCCCCTGTAGCCCTTGAGCAGCTGTGGGCCTCGCCCAGATGCACAAGGAAAAGCTGCAAGGCTAGAAGTGGGTTCTCTAAATAGTTTACCTGGGGTTTCAAAAGGTTTAAGATCCTGGTGATTCTGTCCAGCCACCAGGCTCATAATCTTCCCCCAGAAGTAAAGGCATCCAACTATCCATTTATAGGATTTTTTCAGAAATCCATATGATAAATTGTTGCTACCGTGAGGGTAGCCCGATGGTGCAACATTACAACTAATGTCTACTTTCCAAATGCCCGTCTGCTTTCTCGTCCAGGGTTCACAGCAGGTTGAACCATCCTGGGCACTCCATCAAGGCAACGAGTCCAGTATAGCTGAGGACATTAATTTTGAGCATAGACCAAACTGCATCCACTTGTCATTATGAATGAAAAAATACGTAATGTGCAGCGGTAAACATGGAGGCTTTGAAGTTGTATAACTTCGGCCTGTCCAGATGTTTTGGCCTGCACCTCCCAGCATCCGTCACCAGTGGCTGCGTTGTAGGAGGAAAGGAAGTGGATGCCCGATGGCTCCAGGTTGCCTTTTTCTGCCCTGTGCACACCAGAGCCTCCTTCTCCTGATGGGATCCTTACCATTCCCTCTCTCTCCTCAGAGGAATCGGTCTGTAGAAGTTTGGTTAGGCATTAAGAACCCGAGAGAGTTGCAGCAGATGGGCGGCGTGGTTTAAAAGCTCTTTACTAGGAAAGAGCTGATGAAACGGCATTTGCATGACCCAAACTCCCCGGGGACGGGCTGGAGCCGCAGCAGCAACAGCCGTGCCCGATTGCAGCATGCACCTCTCTGCTCCTTGGAGCATTGATTATAATTGTGCTAGGGAGCAATCCATGCATACGCTCTCTAAACATCTCCTCTCGCTTTGGAGAGAAGCACTGAGAAGAAGGACAGCCTGCGATCCTCGAACAGCTTTGTGTGCTTCGGCCCGACAGAACACAGTGGAATTCACGTCCGAGGACATAGCCCCAGACTGTGCCACACGTCTTAGGGAAATGACGGAACGGGGCCTTGCGTAAAACAGCAATATCGACTCGGACACTGATGTTTCCTTCAGAGAATCAGCGCGTGACATGAAGCTCCGAAAGGGAAGGGAGAGCCAGACTTGGGAGCATGTCCCCATAAATGCCGCATCACTCCAGCTGTCACCTTAAAACATTCCTAGTATCGAAAACAGTCACCGACCTTCTAGCATCAGGCTTAGAGGGTCTCTCAACTGCCAGGAGAGTGAGCTGTGCCGCAACTTAAACGCACCTGCACAGCGGAGGGACTGGCCAGCCATTCATAGGTGGAACGGCCGTGCGGACGAGAGGTTCAAGCCTCATCTTGGGCTTGTAACGTTGCAGGGGCAGTGGAGGAGTCGTTCCTCAGGACAGCTGGTTAAGGCGCTGCGTGCTTTGGTACATTTCACCTGGCACCTGCCTCTGCTCCAAGGATAAACGCGGCAAGCAGCTTGCTTCTGCCCACCCGGACGCAGGCGGTGTGCCCCTCGGGCAGATGGGAGAAGCAGCGCCATGCACCCCTGGCTCGTGTGCCCCGGGCGAAGCTTTGCCGCCTTCCCTGCTGACGCTTCCCTGGGCGCGAACGGTTGCTTTCCGAGGAATTGCATCACACGTGCAGCAGCTTCTACCAAACGGTCTGCCTGTTACTCTAGCATAATAGCCAGTGTTGCATGCTAAGCAACCCCTCGATGATCGTCACTGCTCTCTTGGGTGCTTCCCCACACCTCCCCGGTTGGAAGGTGTGGTGAAACAACACAGCGCAATTGCTGTGTGTACTCCGAGCAACAAAGTCACCCAGCAGCCACTTCCTTTGACCTCGTTGGCCGGTGTCGGAAAGCTCTTTTGTATGGGAGGAGCTCTTTCCCTGCAGATTTTTTCCACCTGCTTGAAAACAAGGAAATGGCAACAAAGATTAAGATGCAACCAACAGTGTGGCCTGTATATTATTTTAGTGCAACGTTGCAGGCCACACTTGGGCTTTCCTGCCCACAGCCTGCAGGCAAGGACCCCCCCCCCCAGCCCCTCGGCATTCTTAAAAGCTTTCTAAGTGGCCCTGTGTGTTCTAAAGGTCCTCAGAAGGAAGGCGGTGCAATTTTGTGTGATTGTGACATGCGGAATCACTACTAGTTGCGCAGTTTTACCAATCCCAGTCCGAACATCCGGTTCCCCATTTTTAAAACGTGCGACAGGGTTGCAGCCAAGTGGAAGACGCAGCGAGGAGGCCCCTCTTCGCCACAGCTCCAGAGTGGCTCCAGGAGTCACAGCAATCTGCCCGTCAGCAGAGGTCTCGGGGAGAGAGGGTCAAAGCAGGGTTAGTTCACAATGCCACACTGTCGCCAGGGTTCCCCTCGGGACTTCCACCGCTCGGCTGCCTGTCTCAGATGGTGACTGATCAAAAGACGCACATGTGCGTTGGAACCACCCCACTGCTGTCCTGCTCGCATGCTGACTGGCTCCGTACGTACGAAATATTTTTACTTGGGTAAACAGGCATTCCCCACCGGCACTCTGAAGTGGTACAGTCCTAAAAGGCTGTGTGATGTTTCTGTAGGCGCAGCCCAGCTCCATCACCAAGCAAGTGCTGTTTTGTGGGCAGCAGACATGTGGAACCGCAGGTTTGCCCAGAGCGCGCCTGTGCATTGCATTGTCCCAGCTACACACAACCGCAGTTCATTCCAATTTCCCTCGCTCCTTTGTCCTGCAGAAGATGACCAACAAAGATGGCCACGCAGGTAGCACAGCCCAGTATGACCACAACCTTGTCTGGTTGTTATTAGGAGATCTTGGATATGCTGCAAGGAATATGCCACCCATAGTGTTCTGAACCCTCTGCAGATGCACGGTGGTTGTTTCTAACAAGCTGTCCTTTTCTTCTTTTTAGGCTGCCTCAATGCAAGTTTGAGCACTGATCTTACGTCACGCGCAGGGACGGTGTCAGCAGAGCGGATGTCACCAACACTAAGTGCCACCAAAAGCAAGCTCTCCGGGAAGCTGCGTCGCTCTGCCAGCGCTCTCAGCAAATCCTCGGATTAAAGCATTTTCCAAGCTGAAGACACCTGGGGAGACGTGCTCTTAAACAAAACCTCTTCTTGCGCTAACTCATTTATCATTGCATTGGAACTGGTGGCTTTGGGAGACTACATACCAAAGTCCTTTCTCCTTTGAATCATGGTTCCTTAAGTTTCAAACTGATTATTTGAAGTATGCAATATGCCCTTTACTTGATAATTTCTGCTGATGGAGCAATGAAGGCAAGAGTTTTTGTTCTGCGAGCTTACCTACTGTGATAACTTACTTAGTTTTACTCTAGCTGTTATCACACCTCACGGAAAGAAGACGCAGAATGATAACTGAAAACTAATTTCCTGATTGTGGCATTTATAATTTTATTATAATTTAAAATGTAGTAAATGAAAGTTTACTTATGGAGTGTCCAAGTTATGCAAAATAAAATACATTTAAGTCCTACTGATGCCAATGGGAAGATAAGCACCCGATGGATTTAAATCAGTAGGACTAAAAAGTACTTATCTTTGGCAGAATTTTGCCCAGATTCCTAAAATATGAGTGCTTTGTGCTTTTCTTCAAATATGCTGTTTTTTCTATTATTTATTTCAAAAGGCCATTCTTGCAAAATATCAAGAGTATTCAGTAACTCTTCTGAGCGACTTATTTTGGAGAAACACTGATGGTTGAATAAAACCACAGAACCCAGATTTTAAGTTGCTTGGTCAAAATCATTAATTTACATTAAAGATATACGAACTATTAAATTTTCCTCTGTGTAAGTTAAAAACGGCACACGCCAACTCAAGAGTTCTTTCCTTTGCGATAAAATTGGACCAAAGTGAGTCGCCCCTTTACGGCGTGATGAGCCAAGCAGCCCGATTAATCGGATCGGTACAAAATGGTTATTCAGTCGGCCAGCTGAGAAAATGTGGATTGGGCTTATCGTGAAGTCAGTCTACAGCAGCCCACAGTTCTAACACGCCTTTCATATATTCTGCAGGGCAAGATGGAGCTTAGATGCCCTCCGCAACCAGGCCCTGATATTTCAGTATAATCTAAGAAAGGGCGGCTTTGGGCGCATTGTTTAGAACAGCTCTCCAGTCTTGCAGCCTGTATGAACTGCATATCTCTATCGTCTGCATGCTAGGGGCCAGGCAGCTTCATTTCCAAACCTTCTGTGGACCTGAAACTGTGTGGATGAAGCCCAGATATTTCGGCGGCACAGGTCCACATGGCTGACCCCGTCCGCATACAGGCCATGCTTCCGAATATCCGACTTGGAAGACTCCGAGATCACTGCAGGAACCAGTCCTCTGTTCTCAGGCATTTCTGTCAAACTGTTGCCTCTTCGCTAAAGGCTGAAGTTGCCATGCGCTGTTTCGATGTGGATTGCTCAGTTTTCTGTCTGCTGTTTTTATGACAGTGAATTTATTGCACTTAATTTGGTGATGGGAAAATTGTTCTGTAAGCGAGGCACCCAGTGATTCTAGCAGATAGCGGATCTCTTTTTGTACTGGTGTGGAGGAAAAAAATTGAAAAATTGTTGTGATTTAATTTAATAAGGTGATGTAATGCATTTCAAACCACTTCTATGCGTATAGCCATAATTTCAAAGTGAAAGTATCCTTGAAGACTGAGAAATATAGCGTTTTTCCCAAAGGGTTTGATCCAGAGTTGGTCATACTTAGATTAAACCCAGGAAAATGTTAAGAAGTATAATTGGTTTCCTTGGGGTCATCTAAGTATGACCAAGTCTCAATGAAGCATGTAAACTTCCCTAAAAGCTTTGTTTTCCCAAAACCACTCAGTAATAAGGGCATTATTTGTTCCAAGACTTGGGCACACATTAAACTACAATAAAACCAACCATATTTCAGAATAACCATGTTAGAAACTGGTAGCATGCGAAATATCTGCTCGTTTGGAGCCCACAACCTCAATGCATTTTGGCAAACGCAGCACTTACTCCGACATTAGTCAGCAGCTTGGCCCGGGCCAAGGGCTGCCATTTTTAGCAAGCTATTGCTGGCTTTCTAGAACGGAGATTCTGTCCTCTCCCCAGTCCTTCTAAATATGTGTTCAGAGTTTTGAGATGTGTTGGATAGTAAGACTTTGGACATCCAATCGCTAACTTTTCATTGATGTCTTAAGTGGACTTGAAAGAGTCTGTGTGTCCGAGGAGGAATGGCTTGTGTGTTGTCTGCTTCCCATTCAAATGTAATCTGTAACTGTAAAATACAATGCCCAAACGTTTATCTTAACATGGAAGGATTTTCTACAAATCAAGCTGTATGCCGCAGTGGCAGCACTTCAGAAGTCTTTGTTAAAGAAAACCACCCGTAAATCCTCCGAATGTTTTAATTTAGAGTCTACCTGTTTTTGTGTCTATGGCGATTCCTTTATTCTTAGTAAGTAGTTCTGGACTTTTTTGGAAGGTGTGTGTGTCCCCAGTGGATTGCTCCGTACAGTGCTTTTTTTGTAAGAAAAATGGTGCCGGAACTCATGAAATTATCTACCTTTCGCACGTAGTCAATCACTGTACACACACCCACACACATCAGTTGTGTAACGAAACATAACGGTCGCTGCCCGCAGTAAGCACACACACAACCAGCCACAAGCCGAGCAGCGCCATCACAACCAGCGCGGACGAAGTTCCCACGCATCGGACTCGACTCACAAGCAGCCCGCATGCACCGTTTTAATGATTTTGCCGCAGACCTGCTATGCTCGACAGGGCGATTCAAATCCACGTGGACCAAAGATCAAATTTTCAAAAGTTACTTTTAAAGCTTGGAAAATCTGTCGAAAAAAGGTGCCGGAACTCCGTTCCAGTGTGTTCTATGACAAAAAAAGCACTGGCTACATACCTCGATGAAGGGATTCCCTGACAGGCCTTCCTTCCAGAGAGTTAGCTTCTTGTCCGCAGGGGATACAGGGACCACAACAGAGAACGTCCAGTTGCTCTTCAGTGTCTGTAGCTTTTTAATTCGTTACCTGTGCCTGTTCATAATCCACTCGCCATCCCTGCTTCAGCATCAACGCCAGAGTCGATCCTGATATTGCTGCCCAAGTGTCCCAGAATTGTGAGGCGGCATTTGGAGGAATGGAATGAGTGGGACTCCTGGGGCCTGCGCGCTAGACTGTGGCGGGGAAGCACTCCTGGGAAAACGGCCACTGCCAGCGCTGGGAAGCTTGCTGGCGTTGTGGAAAGTGAAGTAGCTGGCCAAGGGGCCAAATGCATTAATTCTGTGTATTTAAGCCTACTGATTTCAGGGCATCCAGAGGACTGCAACCTTTGCCAGTGTCCTTTCCTTCCCCCCCCCCCCCCAGGTAATGTACCACCACTTGCTAATGGGAACCCCGTGCTGCTTTTTCCCCCAGCCACACGCTCTGAGCAGCTGCGTGTTGGAGGCAAGGGTGATCCCCCCAAATTCCCAGACCATGCGACCTCCATCTCCTTGCCTCGGCGTGCTTTGAAGCTGGTTTTGTAACCCTGAAGCACTGACTTTAGTAACTGACTCTCTACAAGCAGATACTGCTTACTGCTTGCGGGTGCAATTTAACAGATCCCTTCCCAACCCCTATAAAGGTAAAAACCAAGACAGACACATAAAAATCAATATAGCCGATGTTTGCCATACGCTTAGAGAAGTTTGGGTGCAACCCAACACCCTCCATAATCCAGAGGAGGTGGGATGCATGCCCGGCACTGCCTGTAGGTGGCTGAGGTCATCCATCCAAATGCAGAACCACCAATCCCTGTCCGATAATTTTCTCTTGCCTCTCGGGAGTATTTTGCTCCTCTTCTTGCCATCAGACCAGCCCCAGCTATTCTCTGGGAATAGCTCAGCAGCAAAGAAGAGGAAAAGCATTTTGGTTAACCGACAAGCCAATGCCTTGCCCAGGCCGCCTGGGCTGAAGTGCACTTGAGAGTCCAGGGGCCCGTCTTAAACCAGCTAAGCTGAAGAAGGCCCTGGTTGCTATTCCATCGGCATATTGAGTATCGGGCTGAATGGCGTATTTTCCCTAAGAAAACGGAAAGAAGAGGTTTGTAGAGAGTCATCAAACTGGAAGAGATTTATACAATCGCCTAGTGCAATTCCTCGCTGATGCAGGACATTCACCCCTGTGGCATCCCTGGCAAGTAGCTATGAACCCTCTGCTTTGAAATCTCTTAAAGGGAAAGGACATAAGCTTCAAAGTGTGCCTGTTTCATGGTTTGTGCCTTCAGGAACTTTTGTTTCTAACGAACACCCAAAATATGTGGTACTCGGTCTTGAAAGGGAGGAGGGTTTGGGCCTGAAGATCCTTTTTCTGACACGCTTTCATCTCCCAAATGCATCCCTGAGTTGTCACAAACTCAAAGTAAAAACAGCCTTAAAGCTTTAATTTATAACAACATTGGAGAAGAGGAAGATGTAAATCTTCTGGTACTCTCCCAATGTGTTTTAGGTGGCATCTTCTTCAAGAGGACTGATGTACAATTTGCTCAGGGAAAGAAAGGGAAACTACAGAAGTCCTCGGAGGAAGAGCTTCCCTCCAAATTTCCAAGACAACATCTGGGGCTTTCTTTGCCAGATCCATCCATTGAAAGAGAGACCAGCCCAGAAATTAGAAGGTGGGGACTTGGCAGGGCAGCGATGAAGGAATTGGAAAAGGTTGTCATAGGTAAGGGTGTTTTACTGGACACCAATACATTGCATTATTTTATTCCCAATCACTGTGGTGTGGAAGCTAGACAGGGAAGAAAGTGGAAAGAAAAATCGACCCATTCCAAACATGCTGCTGCAGGAGAGGTCTGGAAATACCCCAGATTGAGGGACAACAAGGTAATTCCTAGGTCGAATCAAGCCAGAACTTTCTGAGAAGCAAAGGTGACAAATCTGAGGCTGTCTTACTTTGGCAAGCGTGCCTTCGTGAGAAGGCAAGGCTCACTGGAGAAGACGTCATGTTGGGGAAAGTTGGAGGCAGAAGAGGAGGAGAAAGATCAAGTGCAAGATTTCTGCAGCAG